TCTCTCTCTCTCTCTCTCTCTCTCTCTCTCTCTCTCTCTCTCTCTCTCATAATTTTCTAAAATCGAAAAACGATTCGATTAGTGATGGATCCAATTCGCGAGTAAGTTTGAATTGGATTTAAATATTTTGTACTAAATTATCTTCCGACAAATCGTTATTGAATTCAAATGTTAAATCTGAATCAATATTTAATATAAATTTAAATGATTCAAAACGCAAGTGAAAAATATTTTTATATAATTATTATATAAAAAAAAGTTAAAATTAGTTAAATACTTAAGAATATAAATTTTTTAAATTTCAATTTAAATTTAAATTTATTGAAATCAAATTTACTAACAAATTATGCATTTGTATTTAGTTTCATCTCTTTTTCATAACTCAATTTTTGTTTCTTATGAATCTAAATATTATTTATTAAATATAATTTTAAACTAAACAGTCAAAATATTTAAAAATGCAGTCAGAATATTGAATTTCGCGCCATGAAATTCTAAATGTTTTAATTCTGAAATTTATAATTTATGATTAAATAATTTATCATGTCGTGAAACGAGAAAATAGAGTAAACAGACTCGAGTATTCTTGACAATAATTGAGTAATTCAAAAGATGAACGGAGCCTGGAAGGGATCTTTGAATCTACGTTACGATACGGTACAAATTATAATGATGGAGGAGATCGAAGCATTCGCGGTATAATTTGAATATTCGAACGCAAAATTTTTTTCGCTATATTTTTGCTCGCGTGATGCCCGATAACGGTACGATCAATTATTCGCAATAACTTCTCGATACATGATACTAAAGATACTATTTTTAAAATTAATATTCTCGCGGTGTGCCTTGATGTTCTACACTAAATATAGCCGGCAATAATTGTATTTCTGTGTTTCATAATGACTCCAACCTAACCGAACAAGCCAATAACTATTGTTTGGTAGATTAGCATATTTGTATTCGATGAAAAATTCCATCATTTTTATAGAAATTAATTGATTTTCATTTTACTTTTGCTATTTTGAAATATTATAAGAAGATTAAAATAAAATAATAAAATATCAAGCAGCGGTTTTCAACCTATACCAAATATGTATATTGAATTTAAAACATAATAGAAATGGAAATCATTAAGAAATTTACGAATTATTTTGATTGTATTAAAAAGAAAATAAATTATATATTATATATTATTTTATATAATTATATATAAAATTTAATTATATATTAAATTTAAATTTAAATTGATGAAGAATTTTTGAAGAAAATTTAAGACCTTTATCAATAATGTTAATAGATTGTGACAATCTCTTCCTTTCACTCATAAATGAAAAGATTCTAGAAATCATTGTATGAATTTTATTATTTTAAAAATAAAATTACTCCAATAATAAAATTAAAAATGATTAAATATTATCTACGTTTTGCAATTCATTCATATTCAAAGCTACATGTATTAAATTCCGTATTATACGCCCCCGCAGATCAAAACATGTTGACAGTCATAGTTCGAATGATATCGAACGAGATATCGAATATTGAAATAAACTTGAATCTCCGTGACGAAAAAATTGGTGACAATGTACCAACAATGCACCAATACCTTTGAACTTTGAAACAGGCTAACACTTTTTAATTCACCGCGCATTTGCATTCTGAAGACGCCTCTTCTCATTGTCCGATATAATAACTACAATATTGAATTGATTCGTACAAGCGAGAAATATGTAAGTCTATTATTTTAATCCATTGCAATCGCTAGTTTCGAACATTGTAGTACAAGCGAGCTATTTAAAACGGTGCACGTGTTTTATTCGCTGTATCGAAAAAATCGTTGTACTGTTTTATATCGAAACATTACCGTCAAGATTAAATTATATTTAGCTAATATACTACATGTTTTATATTTTGAAAACGAGAAATTTCTTTCATTTTATCGATTGTTCCATCGAAATTTATATTTCTACCAAACCAAATACTTGTAGAAATATATAATTACCATATACTTTAAAAATTTTTTAAATTATGAACAATGTTGTAAAAATTCTTCATCGTATGGCAAAACACAAATTCCTAAAAATAATTTTATTTTACAACAGATATTCTTCAAATACTTCTCATTCAAATTATTACCACAAAACAACATTGATTCAATGTTATAATCGATATAAAATTCGGCGATCAAAGATTTGGTGATTGATTTAGCGATTCTCAGCGATCCGTTATAGGAACATGCGGTCATATTCGTTGGTTTCCTATGGACAGGGCAGCCAACTGTTCGTTTAAACATGCGTAGGACTCATTGCACGCGTGTACATGCCCACGCGAGCGTTACACCTGGGGAGAAACGAGACGAACCAGATGTAAAAATGGCTTACATCCGACGTTGGACACATTCTATGGAGAGGAATTTATCGAGAGCTGCACGTGATTAGCAAATAATTAAAACCGAAGGCAGAGGAGATGACGAACGACACTGGAATACGATATCTTAGCGTGTTCTCTGTTTTCAACGGAGTTTCAGATCGAAGAAGGTGAGATTGAGAAGAGAATATGCATATATAATTGTATAAAATTTCGTTGATCTCTCGATAAACGTATTAGATGTGTTCATAATTGCGATATAGAAAGCATTAATATATTCGTGATAAAGTCAATTCTAGAGGTTAAAATTGAAACTTAATAATAAATATCAATTACATATTACATATAAAAAGACGGATTACTTATAACATAACACATTTAATATGACAAAAGAAATATAACCATAGTGATAGATGTTCGATAAATACAAAAAATAATCATAAAACAATAAAAAATATAAAATGAAAGCTACATTCACGTCATTCATAATAAATATGTTAATACATAAATTTGAACCAATATTTTTTTATATTAACTTTTACGTTTGTTTTAATCTCTAGATTCGATTTTTCAAAAATAACACATAAATATATAACATCTTATATATTTCTATTTTTTACGAAAAACAAATTAAATACCAATGAAAGATTGAGCTACAATCTCAATAATCACCATAACAGTGCATAATGATAATCATTCTTAATGATCTTACTATTATATTTCTAGAAAAAACAGTGACTATTAATTAGACAGAATAACTGGTCTTTATCAATGATAAATGTAATGGTAAATAAATCTATTTATTTTTAATTAAGAAAAAGTAATAAAATAAAATCTATCTTACATGTTGAACGATTGAATCGAGATCATTGTAAGCGCTTTTTTAATAAGGATTATGTTCTTTTACTCATGTCGGGCAACCATCTTAAGAAACATGTGAGAGGCTGTTTATTTTGTTCTTAATCTGTATGCAGCTTTTAAACGACTCGTTTCTTGTAAACCATAAGCTAACAGGTTGTGGATACACGTTCTAGGAAAAGGAACTAGTACGAAGTAAAATACGAAGAAAATTTTTTGTTTAATGATGTATATTGAGAATTTACTTATTATATCACTTATTTTTATAGAAAAAAAGGTTAGGAAATAAATCATATATTCTATTTTCTGTATAATTAAATTCTGTAAAATTAAAATGTCATTGTTAAATAATAAATATATAGGATGTTAACATACATGTGGAACAATAAAAACACTGATTAAAGTTTATTTATTAAATTATAAATAATTTATAAAATATAAATTTGTATTAGATGAAGCGAAGTAAACAGCGAACAATAATAGAACTGTCTCACTCTTGTATACTTTTGTTTATATGTATCAACTTCTCGTAGAATCAATCGTTCAAAAATATTTCACGAATGTATTAATGCTCTGTATATATCAAAAATTAATATCTAATTGTTTTTTTTTACTATATACAATTTTCTATAAAATATACTAAATATCCAATATAAAATAATATTCTTATCTTCTTTAATTTCTTAATTGTTAATTATTATTATCATAAACAATTGTTATATTTATTTAATCTCTATCATCCACCATCAATTATAAAAGACAAATATAACATCTAATAATAATATTTAAATGATCATCAAAAATAAATACAAATATCGATATAAATCAATTTTGTTTCAAAATTACAAAATTCATATCTAATTCTATTAGTAAATAAAAAGATAAAGAAATAATTGATCGCGAATTACCTGTATCGAATAGCTTTGTATCGATTAGTTCACACGTGCTCGACGATTTCATATAATCGCTGTCGGATAGATTCTATTGTCTACTATTGTAGTAATTTCATTGTGCAAAAGTGCCGTTTTATTTTCTACCGATTATCCATCGACACAGTCTGAATCGTAACTACTTGACCCTCGGCTAGGGCAGTCTCGCAATTCATCGTGACAGATTTATCGCCTTTACTCCTACAAAAAGGCCAGCCAATCAACGTTGAGATCCTGCTCTAATTGATTAGCAACGAATTACGCGTGTGCACGACGATATGTATGTATTTACGCGTGGGTTAAATCGATGGAGAAAATACTGTGCTTTTACCGTTTTACACTTCTATGGAAATGAGGCAAGATTTCACCGCGCCATATTTTCCGTTTATAATATTCATAATATTTTCAAATAACTTTTCTTTTAAAACAAAATTGAGAAATTTCGAATATGAGATGCGTAATACAATATTTCTCATCTTTGAATTTTTTAATTCGAATTTAATCATATAAAAAAAGTGTATCTATTTTGAAATGATGATATGCATAATTTTAAGGTTATGTTTCTATTTTTAATCTTTTATGATGATAAAATTGTAAAATTTTATATGAAATATTTTTCATCGTTGAATTTTTAAAGTTATGTCTGTCTTTATTAACATTTGCAGTAAATAAATTCTTTTTTAAATTTTAGGCTAAGAAAGGAATCCGAAAATTACGATTAAAAGCAAAAAATTTAATTGAATTTGCACAATGCATTGTAAAATAAATCGAGTCGACAGAGATATATAAAAAATCTTACAAAGAATTTGTTAAATGGATTTCGAAGTAAGGATATTGTTTAATTTTGCAATTGTTGATGACAGTCACGACTAGTAAACATATAACGCACGAAATGTCTAGAGAACATTTTAGAAAGTTTCTTGTTTCACGTTGTTTCACGTTACTTTGAAGCTTTAATGGGAGTAAGTAAGGTGAACTCATGAATTCATGAGTCATAAATCAATTGCATTACTTTAAATGGAAGAGATCATTTTGTTATAGATAAATTATCTTCTATGAGTTCTATTGAATTGATACTATTGGAAATTAACTGACAAAATGATAGATGTCTTCTTATTTTTTAATTTATAATTTTATTGTCCAATCAAAGTTAACTAATTGGATATGTTATCTAATTTATAAGAAAACAATGTTATATTTGCAAATTTATAACTTAATTTTTAAATTGAAAAATTGGAAAATTGAAAAATAGAAAAAATGAAAATGTTTAGAAAGAAATATAATTTGATTTAAGTTTAATCTATTATCCAACTTTTAAATTTAAAAAGAAAATTTAGAAATTTGAAAATTTAGGAAAATAAAGATATTTGGAAATAAAAATAATAAAAATTTTTTACTTAAACTTACTACTTTAAAGTTTATTTGTTCAATATAAAAATATCGAAACGTTTCACTATTATTTCATTGCAAATTCTTCTTTATATATTCAATTAATCATCGAACATTTCAATTGCCTTTCCTCGTAAAATACAAGTTATCGACTCTTGTTATAGATTGTTATCTGAAATATTAATACTAGAATCATTAATCTTAATCAAACGATCAATATTTTTATGACGAAAATAAAATTCGCAATACAATGTAATACTTATGATATTATCGACATTTGTATAACACTTAATAATCCGCGAGATTTATTATTATCATTCTTAATAATCTCAAAGGATTAACGACCTGATAAAATACGAAGAAATTACAAAATGACAATAATGAGTATCATAAATAAAATAAAATTCTTATAAATTATTCAATTAATCAATCATTTTAAAACATTATATCAAATTAATATATATTTAAAATGTTAATAAAAATTATATAATTAATAAATAGATTATGATTTTTTATGTAGCTAAATCAAGATTAAATATTCAATTAATGATCCAATAGTATCTAGTAAAATAAGTGATTTTATTACATATGTTTAATTATATAAAAGTTTTCTAATGATTTTCTAATAATATAAACTATTATTTATATCAAAATAATTAAGCTGAGAAAAGAAATTGTTTCATTAATCGTATAATAGGTATATTTTGCTCCAATATCATATTGGATATCTTATTGTTTCTACGAATAAATTATTCAAAATATGAATATTAAATCTGTTTATAATATTCGATTATCATACGCATTCATTTATGAAAAATATATAAAATATATACGAAAAACATTTGCACAAAAATTCAAATAGTCTATTAATAAATCTTTTACTATCTCACCACATAATTCACCATTTATTTCAGTCAGCCGATCTGTTACCGATTCAAGTACCAATTTCACGAATGGTAAACGTAACAGGAGAAAGAGAAAGAAGGAAGGAAGAGGAAAAAAGAAAAAGAGAATTCACGATGAAAATAGTGGGTATTGTTGGTTGGTTGGTATTGTCCATACGGTTACTTAATCCAGCGTTGATCGAAAATTAATTGCACAGAGACACCGATAAACTGCAGCTTAGGTTATCGTTGCACGACCACGCCATTATTTTTTTCACCTCGAGAAACATTCCATCGACGATGCATCACCGATCAGCCGAGTCAACAACCTTTCTTTTATCTCCTTATGTTCCGATTGTTCGCGCCGTTTTAGCCTTATCTGTCTAAAACCAAGTATGTATATATTGCGAATTATATATTTTTTTCCTTCTCTTAATCTTAATTCGCGTCATTGACTATGTTTATTTGTGTAATTTATCTGTAATCTGTTAGAAATTTGTTTCGTAATTGTATAGTAATTTTTTATTTTTACGAAAAATAATTTTCTTGTCTAGGTCATGTATTAATATCGAATAGAAGATATGAATATCCAATTACCTTATTCGAAGACGCAATAATTCTATCTGGAGTTATATCAACGAGATTGGATAAGGATTGTCGTGACTACACATTAAACATTTATCGCTATAAAGATATCATGATATATATCTTTGGGATTATGATTTAAAATTTCGTATACTTTCGCAAAGGTTTTATTGCTTCGAAATAATTTCGAAGAAAAATGTATGAATTTATGTTTCTTTACATTCAACAAATTGAAAGATAAGAGCAATTATTGGAATAATTTCAGTAACAAATTCCTGGATTTTGAATATCGAAAAAGTTTCACTTTACTATCATTATTAAAAATTATGAATAATTGTGAATTTTTGGAAAAGGTCTAGAACTTAATACTGTTAAGTTTACTTTATATAAGCATTCTTAATTGCCTAAGAGCAAAGTTAAAGAGCTGCAAAACTATGAGTTCTTCAAATTTTAATTCATTATAATCTTGAGAGCAAATAGACAATATTGAGAATAAAGCTATAAATTTAATAGGGAATAGGAGTTTGAGATTTTAGATTCTATGAGATTTACTATATTGTTTGTTGTTCTCAGATAATATTATGAATAACAAAACTAAGAAATCGGAAGTTTTAGACTTTAGATCAATACTGCTCAACAATTGCTCTGGACAATGATGGAAGCAAAGCTACAGCCAGCGAATTTAATAAAGCAAAAACTTAAGATTTTAGACTTTACAGGATCTAGTGCATTATTTGCTAAAATCTAAAGATTGCAAAACTTAAAAATAGAAGATTGAGACTTTAAACTAGGACTGATCAGTAATTGCTATGGATAATTGAGAGATTTTAAATTCTATAGGATTTATATAGAACTTATTATATCATTTGTTGTCCGCAGACAATGCTAAAAGCAAATCTAAGGATTATAAAAGATAATTTAAGATTTTAAACCTATAAAATCTACTATATTGCCTATTTTCTATAATTGCTCAACATCTTTGAATTTTCTGCTATAACATTGTTCTGTTTATAGATACGAGTAATTTCTGAACTATTGAACAGCAGTTCGAAACTTTGAAGAACTAAGCGATTTGAATTGTTTCGATTATTTCAAATATAAATGGAGAAATACTATGAATATCCATAGAAAATATCCATATATTCAATCAGAGTTCCGCAAATTTATATTGAATATTGCACAGTCTGTACATTGTTATGACATGAAGGCAAACTTTATCTTCGATCGAACAAACTGTATTATGTACTTATTCGTTTCAATTACGTGACTTACGCTATGCATACCGTTTTAAAAATATCATAATAGGTTAATTTATCTAAAATAAATTATCTTTAAAGTAATTCATTAAAAAAAGGGATAATATTTATAAATATTTCATTTTTGTTTGCAGGAAATCCATCTTCGATATTGATTTACAACAAGTGATTGATAGATTATTTTTTCATTGTAAAGAAGAAATATGAAAGGAAAAATACCAAAAATAATTCATCGATACATTTTGAATACATTGTTATGCAAGGCCTCGATTCTGACGAAGATGCGACTCATTGCCAAGAATAAATAAAGTCTTGATTTATATTTAGCTAAGATGAAAATCGTAACGGCGTGACTGCGTTTCAAGACATCGTTTTTATATATTCAGTTGTTATATATTCAGCAATGGATGGTCATCGTAAAAATCAATTAAGAGGATAAAGGACCAATACAGGTTTCTCCATGTACAATGTACGATAACACCTTTGCAATTTCACGAATTTTATGATTCATTACTGTCATACTGCATCCATATATTTTAAATATCGCTTTTTTTACTTAACGCTTCAAGAGATTAATTATAATTATAATTATAAAATTATAAGTAATATATTAATATTACTTATAAGTAATATGTAATAATATTTAATATAATTCAGATATGAATAAAAGATGATCAACGATTCGAAGTTAATCATAATATTAGTCAAAGATTTAGAAATGGATAATTTAACATTCACATTTTTTATATTTGAAATGCCTCAACAATTTCCTACAAAAATTTCCATTAAAAATACAAAGAATCACACTTTTATAAAAAGACAAAATAGCGGTAGCGGTGCAATTCATGTCGTGTAACTCTTTCATTAACAGGATAAAAGCGGAATGACATTTTATTAGTTGTTAGTTATGATATATCTCTAGAACTCCTTTGGCAATGAATGCGAAACGCATATATATATGCATAAACTATTCACTGGCACGTGCATTCTAAAATCCACTCCATCCTCGCTCGCCGCAAAACTTGATTCAATGTACAAGCTAGCGTGCAAGGTATTCGTATGCAGCCATTGAGAAATCCTCTATTTTTTTATAGTATACGAACCAACCTTACTGCAGGCTATATGTTCGTAGTGAAACAATGTATCGATCGATTCTCATTTATTATCTTTTTATTATTGAAAATTGAATATCTTTTTTATACATAACATATCGATATTTTTAATTTCTATCGAGTAATTTGTAATTGGCTAATATTTTTATTTATGTTTTTTTATAATTTTTTTATAATAACAAAATGTTGTTTTAAAATTACTTCGCCAATCTTCTCTTTTGAAGAATTAATGTTCTTATATTTTTGAAACAGTCTATATATGACGAAAATGAAATTTTTACAGAAGAAAAGCAAAATTAAATCTGTCAATCAATTTCTCAATATTCTTTGATTTATGTTGCTAGGAAGAGATAGTTATTTCTCTGCTATTAAATATAATGATAATAATAGTGCTCCAATGAATTTTTATGGGAGAAAATATGACGTCATGTATTTTTTTATGAATATTCATCGCAGATTCATCACAATATTCATCGAATTGTTCTCATCTTCAGCAACTTTGTTCATGTTAATGTTTTAAGATTTATTATTGCTCTTTCTAGCATAATAATTAACCAAATTTTAGAAAAATGTAATTTAAATATTTTGTTCTTCTTAAAAAATATCATATTTTTAAATTCAAGATGTATTAAAATATTTAAACCTCTGTTTAAATTTGGAATAAAGTTATATTTTTCATAAGAATTTAAAATTAGATTTTTACTTATCAAAAATCAAAAAATCAAAAAATAATCAAAAAAAATTAAAAAATTCACTTTTTTCATATCTTTCAAAGTTTTAAATAGTTAAAGAATATTATAAATATATTTTAAAGAAGGTAAGTAAGTATTAAATATTCAAATTATTGAATTCAAATTGTTTTTTTATGTACATTCATGTTGAGAAACACTGCTCTTAAAATAAATAAAATATCTTTCAATTACATCTTTGATCCATTCTCTTTAATCTCTGATAGAATAAGATTCTTGGTCCTTTCTTTCTCTATCGTTGAAATCTCGATCAGAATATCATCTATCGTCAATAAAATTAAATTATCAACACTTTGAAATCTCTGCAAACGAAAGATCAGAATTATTTAACAGATTTAACGCCTCAATCTTATAAAGTACACACTTCCTCTCCAACGTCTTAATAAACCATGCACAAAGGCGTGCTAATACCCTAACAATATTCTCCATTTACCGAGCGAGCATTGTTGTAAGTTAGGTTACATTCAAAACGTATTCGCCACTTTCTCTTCCCTTTTACGTCGAGCACACTTATCGATCAGGTTCAAACAGATAGACGTCTGCCAAGTCGTAAATTCAACGAACGAGTTCCCGTTAACAGGTTTGAATCATAGTTTCACTATTTGATCACCACCTCCAATAGGGCGAACTTCGATAAAGCGAACACAGTTACATCGGCCGAGATAAGAAAGGAACGTCAATCGTGCAATAAAGGATTAACTTGTTAAAAGGGAGTGTTGAACGTTACTATAGAACATTATTATAGAAAGATACTTTCCACAGAATGAATCAAAGAAATGAACGAAAGGCCTAAGGTGGATTTGATTGAATCAATGATTGATATTTTTTGATTCAATAATTGAAAATTTTTTTGTGTAAAGTTTTAGATTGTGTTTGATTATTTGAACATCTACTATAATTTAACGTATTATTTATTTTTAATAATTTTTATATTCTATAATGTATTTTATAATTCAATATTCATAATATATTTTGTAATACTATTTAATATATATATTACAAATATTACAAATTTGCTAGTACAATAATTTCTTATTTTTTAATAAATCAATTACTTAAATTTTATTAAAGATACAAATTATATCTCATTATAAACACTTTCATATAAATTGAAATTCAAATTTATAAAACTTCATTTCATTCGTAGATATAAAATTCAATCATAGAATAGCCAAAAATAATTTTAAAATTGCAAATAATTAGAGAAACGTATTAGTGGAACGACAAAGAAATGAAATCCACAGAGAAATGAACAGAGATGAACAGAGAAATGTTTATCGAAAGATAATTTTTTTTCTGTGTAGAGTGAATCAACGAAATGAATGACAGGAATAGGTGGGCTTGATTAATTCATCGATCGGTAAAATGATTGTTCTCGATGTTGCAATAACCTGCGAGAGTTTTAAAAATAACTCGGTGGCAGAACTTATCACCGACTTTCTCTGCTGTCTTAGAAACAGCACAGTTGGCATTCAGTGGCAGCGTGCAATGCCGATGGAACTTATTGCATTTCCGCCTCTCGTCATTGTTTGACATTCGTCCACTCGAATCTCGTGAAAATAATCACTGAAAGACTTTGCCTTCGCATTTGCAGAAATAATTGCCAATTGTTTGCTTTCTCGGTAATGGCTAATGGTCATGCATATACTCAATGGTTTCTTTTATTGGTGCTTCTTAGGTTAAGTTAGGTTAGGTTAGGTTAAGTTAAAAAAAAGATTTTTATATATATAATAGAAATATAATATGAAATATTAAATTTTATAATATCGAGTAAAATACAGATATATCTTTAAAAATAAATTTTTATGATTTTTCTTTTCGACTTTAAAATCGTTTCGATTATTTAGTTCTCAAAAATTATATTTTTTGAAATAATTTTGTATCCTTTAGAAATTTTAAAGTTAATCGTGATTTTTAATGTCAGAACTGAGAGAAAGTTAAATTAGACTGAAATTAGATTAATTAGGTTATTGCTCGTTTTTTGTTTTGAAATTTAAATGTTAGCTATTTGAATTTTTCTTTTGAACAAAATAAAAGAAATATAAAAATCTGAATTCGATGTTTCCTCTATACAATAAATAGTAAAGATAGAAAGTCGCGAGACTTGTGTATAATGTAATCAGTATCTAAACCTTTCTAAATTTATGATCGTAGTATGATGTAACATATTTATTTTCTCATCTAATACTTACGTTTAGTAACAATTGAAGAACGTTGAGATATAATTGTACTTCACTCGACATATAACATCCAATTACGATTCCAGTATTAAGAAAATTAAACATATTACGATAATATTTGATTTTATAGTTGATGTAGTAATTATAAATTACTTGTCTTCCTGGAAATTCAAATTTACGATTATATATATAGACTCTGTAGCTTTTGAAACAAGAGTTTTCATATTGATTTCCAAATATATAAAATATTAATCACGCTGCAACAATGGATATATCATGAATTATCCGCTACCTCGAAAAAAAAATTTATACGCAAAAACTGAGATGGAAAATTATCCAATATAAAAATTATCTTAATTAAAAAAAAATTTCATTCAATACAATATTATACATATAGATTCTATGCGTATATGTGATTTGCATATTCCATATCCTACAATTTTCGTGCATAGCGTCTGTCACTGGAACAAACCTCCGGCTAAATGAATAAAACGCAATCGAATGCGTCCCTTTAATTTGCATCTCATTGAAGGATAACCCGTTCTTGCAGCTCGCAAATTGTAAAATCGGGGAATAAAAATTGAGGAAATATAGCCAACGAACATGGAACCTGTCTACCGTCAATAATTGCCATAGATGCTCAATAGAAGAACGACAAGAAAATTCACGATCACGCATTTTTACGCGTATTACCGTTCAATGATAAACAAGTATTGGTTTTCGACATTCACAGCATTAAGGCCGTTTCACAGAGCAACAGCAGAATTGATAAATTAATTATTCTCGAGTTATTAAAATTTCGAATATATTTATAATATATGTTAATAAGTTTAAATGGTCGAATAATCATTATCGTTGAGAGCTATTATGTGTATTGTTTTTTCTTCGATTGTAACTATGATTGTTCGGCTTTATGGTTAACTGTGGTTACTTGATGCTTTGAATAATATTGTGATTATTTAAATAATTTATTGAAGTGATAAATTGATAAATTTCTTTTTTAGTGAAGTATTATGGAAGAGGACTATCTATGGATAATTTTGTAAATATAAGAAATATAAAAAAAATATGAGAGATTCTCTGTACCAAGGTATTTTTTAATTCCTCATTATTATTCGTTCCTGCTTAAAAAAAAATGTGAAATCGATTCAACAAAGACAAAATTCTCGCCAATATTTATCTACGAATTTATCCTAGTCTTTGCAGGTTATGAACAGGTATGAATAGTAATTACGTTTGAAAATAAAATTCATGAAATTCTTCGAGAGTTATTTTTTATACTAGTAGTTAATTTTTCATAGCAGTATTTTTACCATTAGTAATGCTCTGAAAAATATGAATCCAAAGAAAGCCTATGAATTATTTTCGAAAGTATTTTTCACAAATTTGACACTGTATTGAAAGTGACCATGTTAAAATAACCATCATTTTTAACGCAGTGTCTATTAATAAAAAAAGACATTTTCTTTACTTTTCACAATCTCCATTCTCAACACAATATCTACTAATAAGAAACAATTCTAACAAAAATAATTATTCAAAATTTGAAAGAAGATATATTATTTTTATGAATGGTAAAAACTTTTATTCTCAATACGCTAAAAATTTGAAAAAGATAAAATATTGAAAATTAAATTTTATTCTAAGAAGAGAGTATATAGAGTATAGTATATAAGACATGAATCCTGATGCCCGATTGTTTGCCCATGCGAACCGGCCTTTAAACGATTGCGCGACTTGGTTGGCTCACGCGAGGCTCCCTCTGTAACGAGGATTAATATCCTTCTTCCATTTAACAAGAGACTTACGAGACGCAGATGTAATCGTCCTAACCCCGGTGGAGAAAGAACGAGCGATGAGAAAATTTATTCGAACGGCCCATTGGATAAATCTCTCCGTGCCACCAACGAATCTTAACGGAGTAATCGCGGCAGATATCATTAGATTAATGGCAAATGATCCTGCGACCTGCGACACTGGATCTTTCTCTGGTACGCTTGTGCTCGGAGAGGATTGCTCGGAGAGGATTGCGCGGAGAAAAACTGATAACGAAACAGGAAACGAGGACAGGAGGAATGGAACGAGGGGATTAACACGGAGTCTCGATTCACTGTGTTTAGATATAATTCAATGATTTTTCGTTTCGAAGATTATTTAACCACGTTTGCGGTCTGTGTCGTTTCTACTGTCGTTTTAAAGTGATTTATGGTTGCTAACCAATTTACGAATGTTTACAATTTCGTTTTAATTCTCTTTTCTGAGAATTTTCCGAGAAAATTTATATGTATATATGTTAATAAGAAGAATATTTTTATCAATCTTTATCATGTCAATAGCAAAATTTGTTGGTTATTATCTAATTTTAATAATTTTCAGTGGATAAAATGTAAATTTATTCTATCCATCATTGATCGATCGATTTGTAAAGATAGTGGATTCGAGTATTAACGTAGAGGTTAAGTAAATCGTACTGTGAATAATCGCATCAGGATTTGTCTATAGATATTCTTTTTAAAATGTGGAGATATTTTAGAGTAGAATTCTTTGGAATTAATTTTCGATATTTTATTTTTTTCAAATTTTTAGCGTGTTGAGAGAGAAAATTTTTACGTTAATATATAAAAATAGATTCAGAAGCTATTTAATATATAGCATATAATAGAAGTTCTTTCAAATTTTGGATGAAACATAGAAAAATAGATGGAAATTTGAATTTTAGGTTAGTTCAAACTCAAAACTTTCTTTTACAAGCTTGCAAAATAAGAATTAGAGAAGTTTGTTTTCTTTTCAAGTTTAATAAATTATGCCATGAATCTAAGAATCCATTGCAATAACATTCAATCTTCAGAGAATTTCTTATAATAATAAAAATATCAATATAATTTATCGATCGAGTTACGAAACGAGATATTCACTTGTATTCTTTCGCCTATGTTCACACGATCACGTGGTATGCCTTTTACAAAATGGCCAAACTATTAACTTAATTAACGTTGTATAAAATATAATAATTTTATATTTTTTTTCTTCTTCTCAAAAATTAATTTGCATGAATAAATCACATTTATCGAAGCACGCAGATAAATCTTAGACGAATAACGAGATAGTAAAAGTCTCATGCAAGAATAGAAGATACGAATCTGTGTACGTATTTAACAAGTAGACAAGCGCACTGTAATGCTTATCATTTATTCAACTGATTTGCATAGCACGAGCTATCGCTGTATACGAGTCACGATTTACGCGTAAACGAAAATTTATTATCGAAATCAGTTCATCACACCTCTGCAATTATCTCTTTCTTCTTTCTAAATTAAGTTTGGATGGATATAGGATTAATCAAATGGAGAAAATATCATTTACCTATTAAAACTGATAGATAGTCATCTGTTAAAATGAATTTGCCGGATGAATTCGAATTCAATTGGATATTATAATTGGATATTGGTTTGACTGGTATTTAGTGTTAAAATGTTTGAATATATATATATACATATTTTTTACATTATATATATATATATATATATATATATACAATATATTATTACATATATATTATTACAGTATGAATAGAAAATCAAACTTGAATAATTGTAAGAAGATAAGTGAAAAAATGAAAAAAAAGATTATGATTCAATTTTTAAAATTTAATATGAAAATATACATAATAAAATAAAATTAAATCTTTAAATAACAATTTTAATTTTTTCATTACAGGTTGCTAAAAATAAAAATTACATAATAAATGTAAACTGACTGTTAATTTATATTAAAAAAAATAATAAAGAAATCAAGCATATATATCATTTAAAAAAAGACAAAAAGGTAACATTCAATTGATTGTTCATTTTTATTCAAAATAAATAAAATTAAATTAAAATTAATGATATCATTCAATTTTTATGTAAAACATTTCTCGCTATGAGTAATGATAGAAATAAGAAAATCAAGATATCAAAATTAGGTAAGATATCCATTATAAAATTCCAGTATAAAATCATTTCTGAAATATTATAATGTACACCATTCTCTATCCACTTATCTGTCCATTGCAATCTTTCCTCATGTATAACTCTCAATAATAACTGACACGAAGCTTCGACGTTAAAATTAATCAAACATGTCAAGGAAGAAATAACTGAAGAAAGCGAAACTGCAACAAAAAAAGAAAAAAGAAAAGAAAAAAAAAGAAAAATATAATTACAGTCATTGGTTCCGTAGAATTTTGTCAAGGTTCTCCGTACAAAGAGCGATTCTATCATCGTGGTCTGAAAGGTAATACGCGACCGCGTAATTGCGAGTTGGTTACATGAAATTCGCTAGGAGGTGAGCAACTGGTTGTGGAAGGGGTTAATAATAAGAGTCAACCGGTATTTCCACGTCTTATTACGAACGGGTAGATTGGGATGAAGTATACAGTGAAAATGTGCCTTGGTATCTCTGGGGTTGTAACGAGTTATTAATGCTTTCAGACAAAACACCTCTATGCCAGCTGCAATTACTCGTACGTGTGATTTATTATATTCGAGATAGAATAATGAAGTGATGGATAACTTTTTGGAGAACTCTACGATTAATAAATTTTTAGCTCTGATTAATTTTTCCTTTTTTTTTTTCAAATTTTGAACATTTGGTGAAATATTGTATGTTGAATGTAAATTGTAGGTTGAGAAACACTGTATTAATGAATCATTGTAAAAAATATTAAATACAATGTCTCTAAATATGGAATTTCTAATTTTAAATTTTAAGTAAAATTTTAATAAAATTTATTTTCTCGTTTATTACAATTTTTCGATGTTAAAAGTTAAATTTCTATTTATAATTATATTATATTTAAACATTTCAATATTGATTTAAGATTGGGAACTAATTATTCTTTTTTTTTTAATTCTTATTGAAGAAAACTGATTTTTCAGAAAGAATATAGAGATTTCATTATATTAATTTTATTTGAAAATTTTAATCATTTATATTTTACTTATAATATTATTTATATTATTAAATTTTATAGAGTAATTTAATTTATAAGAGAATATATAATAATATATAATATATAAAATTGCTGATAATTGTGTATTGCTATATAGGTATATAAAGATTATGTCTGACAACAGATAATCCTTTTCTACTTGATTCTAGTTTCTACTTTCTATCGTATCTCTACACAGTGATACATGCTAATGTAATGTTTAGAATAAAATAATAGTAACTTTGAAAATCGTTGAAATTCATAAAAAATTCTACTCTATAAAGTTTAATAATATTAAAATTTACGACAACTAGTTAACATTCAACTAGATTTTAAATTTCCTAAATATTATAAAAAAAAAATTGAAGCATAAAAATTCATTGAAATACATAACAAAAGTCTATAAAGCATGAAAGTTTATGGTTGCAAAAGATATAAAATACTAAAATTTACACAAAACCGGACTTTGATGTTCAAGAAACCAGCAGGTATACACAGGAAATATATTTTCAAGGTAAATGATGGCACATAAGATGAGCTGAATTATAAGCTGGAAAACAATCGCTGAAAATTCAATAACCTAATTGACCATCGAATGACTATACAAATATAATTCATTCAATTTTAGATTTATCTTCTTTAAATTTAATAAATTGTCATTGGCGTAAATCAATGTAAAATATAGTTTGAAATTAAAAACTAATGAAAATTATAGGCTCATCGAAGAACGAAAATCGAAATTAAATAATCTAATCTATTTTTGTATGAATTATTATTATATATGGTGCAAATCAATGTAAATCAATGTTTCAAATGAATGATTAAAAATTAAATGCTAAAATAGATTGCAAAAAATTTCTATCTCGAGTGTTTAATTATTGAAAAATTAAAATTAAACAATTTATCCTAACCTAACCTAACTTAATCTTACTTAATCTAACAAAGCGCTAATAATTATACAAAAAACCAAGGAAAGTTGAAAAAACGTGACTAGTTAATCATAATCATAAAACGAAGGCATCTCGATAATATTTAACATCACATGCATACATTTTATATACATGTAAACGAGAAGGAAAGACAGGTGTGAATCAAACATTTGCCATTCGACACAAGTTATCACGCAATAACGCATCGCCACGGCCGAGATCGCAGGGATTGTATTGCGTTTGCCAAGCCACGGTTAATTTTTATAAGGATATGGTTAGATAATCGATGCGCTGTACTATCGACGTAACTATTAAAATATCGAATGGCGTGGGCAATCCGATCCGTTCAAGCGAATCTGAAATAGAATTCGTTCGGATAGATGGAAACGTCTAGTCTCAATATATAGGGTGTTCTATACTTGTATACAAAAAATTAAAATAAGATTAAAATGAAATTTCATTAAGCAAATTTAAGTTGATAAATTGAATAATGCATAGTCTGGTTATACAAGTTATGTTTATTTAACAATTGAAAAAATTTTCAGAATTACTTTTAGTTTTTTTTAATGAAACTACTTTTTTTATACATTTTTGAATTCTTCTTAAAAAATTATTAGAATAATAATCGTAATTCAAATTAATTTAAAAATACATATTTTCAAGAAAATATTATGACGAGTTGTTAATATTACTGAAAAGGTGGATGCATGAAAATTAAAGCTCTGACTATTCATTTCGACTATTAATCGCACCTTGACCTAATCTGGTTAATTAAAAATACACAAGGTTGAGAACTCGAGAAGAGTTACGCTTTGTATTCGCAACACAAATTATTCGGAACGTTATACAAGAAATAAAAATTGGCAAGTGTCTGTGAATAATAATAAAATAGAATTTCTAATTTCCTGTTGACAAGACAGCTTTCGACTGATCAGATTTGGAAATTTTCTCACGTTAACTTTTATTTTTTGATAGCATAAATTGAACTAGAACAGATATTATTGTATTAGTTATGATTAATGTTTATTTTTATAGAGATAAAGAAAAAATTTTTAATTCTATTAAATTAAATTACATTAATTCTACTTAATAAGTTAAATTCTAATTTTATTTAAATCACAGGTAATTAACTGTTTAAATAATTTCTAACTATTCCGGAATACACAATAATTGAAGCTCGTAAATGTTTTCTTATATTCATCTTCACTCGAGTTTATTTTAATATTTTATTTATAAAGAAAACTTCTATCGATAAAAAAAACATTAAATTATATACTTTGAATTATATGAATGTATATTGGAAACATATAGTAGAGATAAATAATTTGAAAAAATTTAATTTAAAAAGCAAGTGATCAACACAAGTACTCTATTTTTACATATTAAATATTCGAACACGATTTCAACTGCATAAAAATCTTCAATATACTTATCAAGTTCTGCATGTCGACCTTCTTCGAGAAGAACGAGTCTTAATTAACGTGTTAATTACGAAGAAAATAGATATGATCAGTCGTACGTAACCAATCGAAAGTAGTTTATTACGAATCACGCCATGATAACCCCTCGCGCAAGGCCTTTTGAAAGATGCTTCATTAATTGAAATGAAGAAAAAAAGAAGAAAGAAAAAAACGATGAATGTTTGGCACAATGAAACCAGTGGATAAACGCGGGGTGGAGAACGAAATCTTCATTCGTGTATCACAAAGTTATAATTAAGAGATATATATGAAATACAAATTCGATATTTTTCTGAATTTTGAGGTTATGATCCGCATATGGTACATTTTATTATAATGAGAAAATTCGCGAAAATTTAGTGAAAATTTTACTAAATATTGATATATAAAGATATATTAATAATTGAAGATACTTAATATATTATTTTATTTTAATAAATAAATAATTAAAAAAATTGAGAAAATTATAAGTCAAAAAAAATATAGAATAAAATTTTTTGTTCTTGAAACTCTCATTTATATTACGATTATTTTTAATTAATAATTTAATTATTAAAAAAATAAATAAGATGTTTGCAAATATCAGAATATAAATAAATATATACAAAATACTTACCGAAAACCTAATTTTAACTTTATTTGTCTACATACTGCTTAATTACATAATTCAATGCACACCAAGGTTTAAGAATTGATAACAACGCATGATATAAAAATACCTGCAATGATAAGGTAGGTAAAGTAGTACAGTGGGGTTTATTCAATGGGTAATATTAAAATGATATATCTCATTTGAATCTTGTTTTTTTTTTTCGATAATAATCACAAAGATAAAATAAAAAATATTCTTTATCAATTATTCATAGATGTAACGGAAAAAATATCTTAAAATTTAATTTTCGTGAAATGATAGAATTATCCAATCAACTATAATCCTTATTTTATTATACAGAAAATTATTATTTTAATTTTTATACGATTTTTAATTTTTAAAATTAATAAATTAATTTGAGAAAATTAATTTGTGTTTTGAAGCTTCTTTTTTAATACAAATAATATTTTCCAATTCATAAATTAATAACATTTTTTTTAAATATAATAATATAATTTTTAATATATAATACATTAATATAAGCTATTATGAGATTCAGTGTTTACAGATGATATTCGTTGATTAATTCATAAAACAAATACTATAAAAATAATCTCAAAACTATCTAACTTAGCCAATATTTACCGTAATATTTAATGTATTAATATAAGTTGTGATTCATACCAATATAAGGTTCAAGACATCTATTCGTTATTTAGAGACAATATTTATTGAATTCATAACACAAAACAAATATTACAAAACTTCAAAAGCTAACTTAATGAATTCTCAATGCATAATTGCTTACCAATATAAAATTCAAGATATATATATTCATTATCCATGGATAATATTCATTGATTAATTCAAAGTACAAAAACTTAAATACTATTACTACTTAACTAATTTTTAATCCATAATATATTAATATGAATCAATATAAGATTCAAAACATGTATTCATTTCTCACATATAATATTCACTGTTTAATTCACATCACAAAACAATAAACACAAAATTAACTTCAAAACTTAATATACATTATCTATAGACAATGTTCATTAACTAATTCATCACAACACAAATACTATAAAACTAATTTCAAAATTTGCTAAAGTAATTTAAACTTAACCAATTCTTATTGCACAATATATTAATATAAATCATTATCAGATTTAAGACATGTACTTACTAAACAATAATATCACTGACCAATTCACAAAGTAAAACAAATATCATAAAAAACTAACCTCAAATCTAACTAATCTATCTATTACAATCATAATCCGATAAACCAACATTCCACGCGAAATAAATAAGAAGATAATACCAATTACTCACAAGAAGCATCGAGATAAAATAAGGATGAGGAACAACGACAGTTTAAAACTGGATCAAACTACGAGAAACACGAAAGGGTGTGTAGCAACAGGTATTACACGGCAAGTAACCTAAAGGCTAAGCGGCTCACGGAGAGGAATGTAGAGGGCAGCCAAGCCTTTCGAGGGTAATTTATTTAAACAACAGCCTATCTACACGTCTATCGGATACCTAGTCTCGCGTTGGTTCGCTGATAAATCTCTTTCTCTCCGCTCTTCGTGGTGTGTCGGTATACCTTTTTTTTTCTTCGTCTGCGAAACGACTACAAAAGGGGTGTGTATCCGCGAGCAGGAGAACGCTTGTTAGTAACTTGGGTGAAATAAGCTATGTCTGACAACAGACGATCCTTTTCTACTTGAGCCTAGTTACTTTCTATTTTGTGTCTCTTTATATTACACGATACAACGTTATTATTATAACATTTATAATGAAATGGCAGTCAATATGATATACAAATTATTTAATATAAATTAATATTAACACGCTCGGTATTAAATATAAACGATATTATTTGATATTTTAATTGCACAAATCTTGCAACGATATAATAAGAAGAATATATAAAAAATCTCATTTTCCTTATTTCAGAAATTCAACACCAGTTAAGTCACCTCGATACAAATCTTACATAATATCTAGATTTTCCTCAACGTAGCAACATAGCAAATTAATGGAAATATTTTTGACTATAATCGAACAAATTCAATCTTCGTATCTATATATAATATAATCAAAATCTACGAAATATTTGTTAATAAATAGCTTATATAAATAAAATAAAATCAAATACGAAATATAATAAAAGTCTATTTAAGAACTGCTTATTTTTAATAAAGCTCATTTTGACGAACCTACATCGATTTTTTTGTTAGGTTATGTTTGGTTTTCTGAACCATAGCAATGGAGTTTGGCACGACTTATAAAAGGCGACTTAACGTCTCACGGTCACCGTTGAACGAGGATAAAAGCTGTACCACGAATAAATCCGGCGGTCGTACGTCTTCTCGAAGATTAGATCGCCATATCCGGCGTGACTCGATGCGATGCGCTGCGCCGCTGGATTTTCGATAATAAAACGACAGGATCGCGATCGTTAATCTCGTAAAAGGAAGCGGTTACCGTTAGATGCGTCCACCGAAGTGCATCGTTTCTTTTCTATCGGCCGAGTCGAGTATCGTTTCTACGCCCGTGACACTTTTCACTCCAAGTACTCTTTCATCGTTGTATGTACACTTCCTGTTCGCCGTACAAGAATCGTCAATGGATCTTTAGTAGAGAATATTTACATGCATTCCATGAATTTTTACGTGCGATTGTGATTGGTACTTGATTGAAAAGTACAGTCAACCACGAAAATATATCGTGTATCTTATAAAAAACTTTATGATGAAAAATTTGAATTATTTTCGTAATTTTGTAATAAACAATTTATTTTTCGAAAAATCTCTTTGAACACAAGGAATCGATTAAATTTTTTTCATTTTTGTTTCGAACGGAAATATTCTTTCCTTCTTTATTCTTCAAGTTTATTCACACAATAATAGAGCACTAAAACCTGAATATCTTGCAGTTTAAAATTTTGTTCTGTTCATTACACTTAAAAAAATAGAAATAACATTTGATGTTTTCATCTCTTCTTAGGAATGATATTCCTAATTAATAAAAAAAATAATTTCGTATATAACTGGTATATAATAGTCTATCATATTCATAATAAATTTCATAGAAAACAAAATTATCTTTGGTTTTAATAATACAATTTATTAATTTATTAATTGAATTTGCGTATACGATTATATGAAAACTTTTATGACTAACTGTAATTTGTATAGAATTTTATTAGATGGAATTGAAGTTCATGTAATGATGTAGTTAATATGTTCAAATTTTTTTCCAAATTTATTTCTAGTAAATTTATCGATGATGTTATTTCTAATATGTGCTTTTTTATTCCGCTGTTTAATTGCCTTGTGGAAGCCTATTCTTAAATATGCTGTAACTATTGTAATTAAAATATTAATTCGATAGGAATAATAGATGTATATGTATAATTAAATTTCTATTCTAATAAAAACATAATCATACTGTTAATAGTAATTTTATCACTTGAATGTTTTTTAAACTAGTAATTACTAAAGTGAAACTCATTATTTTTCAGAATATGTTATTTCTAATTTAAATTTAACTTTAATTAATATAAAATATAAGAATTCTTTTGTATTTTTCTTAAACATAAATAACATTATTAATAAATAGAATAGAACATATTACGTGAAATTTATTTAACAAGGATTAATATTAACAAAAAAATTCGTCCATGTTTTATTCGAACGTAAAATAAATAATTGAAAAAAAAAAAATAAAATTGTCTACAAGATAAGACAATTTTATTTAAGAACGACAACCTCTCTAATCCAGTCTAAAAATCCATCGAAAAAACCGATTGGCTGGAAGAAAGCGACTGTGCCGTTTCCCGCGCCATTTAAACGGCAATATATTCAAGTAAGGTTAGAAATTTAGTTGGCTCGTATTTTTTTTTTTTTTTGTTAAGAAGAGCGTAATGAGCGTACATCTTTCGAGTTTGCAAGAGACGTGTTGAACTTAACGTTAAAGTTCATGCACCACGCGACTCCTAAACCTGTGAGAAAGTTGTCTCGGGTCTAATATAAACCTAGCTTATAATTTTTCCAATCTTATCCAATCGTGGCCTGAATTCCTCGCAGGACTCCTTGTTTTATCCCTATCGGATATATCTGAATTTTGTATCGAGAACAAAGAAAAAAAAAAAAAATAACGAAAATTGCTTACCCCTTATCAGATGATAAAAATGCTTTCACTCGTTCCAAGATCTCGAATGTTAATATTTTAACGTTATAAATCACGCGTAACACGCGTAGAATTTGTGTTTAGATACCATATCTTTTAGCACGATAAGTATTTTCGTATCTAAGTATTGTAATTTAAATAGCACGATACGGGATGTGATCACTGCAAATTGATCGTAAATTAAATTAAGCTGTATGGAAAAATGCTTGGCGTAAAAGTATGCAAGGTGACATAATTAATTGGTGTTATTTATTTCACAGGTGAATGTGAAGGTATGAAGATCGATAAAGGTTTGATTATTTAAACGAAATCTTATATTCTTCGAGTGATAGTAACCATACCTGAATATCGATTTTTCCCGATAAACGTATTTTTTCATTTCTTTCTTCTCGTTCTCGATAATATTCCACTTACCAGTTCCATTAATGATTTTATATAATAAACTATTTTTGGAATTTTGTTCTACTTCTGATATATGTATTTTAATATTTATCAATTCGTGCAAATATTATTTTGAAATGGATATTTTATTGAACAATTGCTAATTACTATTTTTCGAATTTATTCGATTATTATTATTATTATTATTATATTTCTATTAAACAAAGAATAAATATTTTATTCGCATCAAATCCGAATATAAATAGTAAACAAATATTTAAAATCAACTAATGATTCACAATGAAGGCATTCATATCTTCAATTAATATTTGTTTATGGAAACATTTAATCTCTTAATGTATTTATTTTAACTTATTTCAAATTCTTTTGGCTCAATAAAAAATAACACATAACCAAGTCCAAGCAACATTGTTTCACTGTAACGAGCACTTTGCAAGCACATTTATTGACCTTCCATATCGCGTTATAAACATATTATGTACTATTATCATCGTATATATATAGCTAAAAATATTCATCGCTAAAACATTCGTTAAATCGTGCACAGTTGACTATCAAACTCGTTATACATTCGTGTAAACACGTTTCGACAAAGAGATGTGTGTTTAAAGAGGGTAATAAACGCTTGTATTCTAATGCGTTTCCTCGTCGGAACATCTGCGACGTGCGCATGATTCAATGTCGCTTACGCGTCGTTTGCAATCATAATAAAACGCATGCGCGAAATTTATGAAGATTCGCGGGACTTTCGATTTAGACAGCGGCGTTCGACTACTCTCGATCTCTTCATTTCTGATAGAAAATTTTTGTCGTGACGCAAGTAACGAAAATTTATGATTTGTTTTTTTTCCTTTTTACTATTTTTTTTATATTATTTAATATATTTCTTATTTCAATTAAATTGGAAATAAAATTGTAATTTTGAGATATAAATTTATAGAAATAAATAATAGAAAAGTAATGACGAATCCAATTCGATTTGAATACTTTTTATATATAATATTTAGGCAAGATAACAAATTTTAAATTTAATCTTAAGTAACTGATACCCGGATATTGATATAAATCAAAGAGTTAACATTGATTTTATATTTACATAACATATTTATCAAGTAAATTTATACAAAATCGTGATAAAAAGAAAATAATTCCAGTCTTGAAAATAAGTCGAAAGTGTAATAAAATAATACAAATAAAGAGTTAATTTTTTGACAAATTTTTATTAGTTCTGGCTTAAATTTTTTTAAAAAATTTTATTCGAAACAGATTAAAATTTGAAACAATTAGCAATAAAAATTCATCTACTACTACGTCGACATAATCGATGATTAAATTAATAAGATATCCGTCTTGAATAATTCAAAAAAAAATATTTACAAAGATAGTTGTGAATAATCTGATTCCACGTTACGTAAAATGAAACATTACTTCCAGTATGATAATGAAGAAGGTCGCAAATATTAAATATTTTTTTCGAGACGACAAGAGACATCTTAACAACCTGCTGATAATTCTTAAAAAAGAAGGAAAGAATCAACGGAGAAAAAGTAAGAAATACGACTGAATTAGAATTGAAACTGATAACCACATTCCTCGAACAATATTTAAATACTTAATCAAGTTCTTTATTGTAAAAAAAAAAAAAATTACGCATACATTAACAATTTAAAACACATTTTACACACAAGCTACATTCGCATACAAAAGCAAAAGTTCTACGTTCCATTTTTTCTACCATCTATCGCACAAAATAATTAAAAGATGGACTAATTTAAAATATATTCCATCTCTCATCCTTCCCCAATCCTGATCCAATCATCCAAACGCTCGATTAAATTTTTAAAATTTCGAAAACACAAGATGACTAAATTTCTCGAAGTAAAAAAAAAAANAAAAAAAAAAAGTGAAAAAGACGGACTAATTTAAAATAATATTCCATCTTATCCAAATCAATTCAATTCAATTTCGAGATAATAAAGCAAGATAGCTAAATTTTTCAACGTAAATAAAAAGAAGGAAAAAAAAAAGATGGACCGATTCGAGATTAAATAATTTCGCAAAGGGAACGCGTTCCACGTTCCATCCTTCTGAATTTCGTTACGTAAAACAGACGTATCGTCGAGTCGAGAGAAAGAAAAAGGGGAAGAAAAAAAGAAAAAAAAAAATACGACCGATGTATAAGAAGGCGCTGTTTTACCAACGGAGATTTGTATTCATAAAGAATGCAAGGACGATGAATGAAGCAATGCCGCGTTTTGTCACCGCGTGACTTCACGGAGGAGGAGGAGGAGGAGGAGGAGGAGGAGGAACTCGAGGCGGAGGGGGATGATTTCTCCGTGACATTGGCCGTCTCCTCCTCGCGCTATTGTTTTTGCACGAAATCAACGTGAAATTATTAATAACCCAATCGAGCGACCCAGGCAAGGTTATCGTGGTGGACGAAGACGACGACGACGACGACGACGACGACCACGACGACGACGACCACGACGAAATCGTTTCAATATTAAATCGCACGTAAATGAAGAAACTCGAGCCGCTTTGTATCGCGAATAATCTGCTCTTTCTCGATAAATTTATTGCGTTCATTTATTCGCGAGGAAGAATGAAAATTTGTAAATTCTTTCGATCGATTTTTTTGAAAAGTGTTTGAGAGATATTTTGAACGAAATGTATGGATACGGTTTATAGGGAGGGAGTTGAGATCGCAGTAGCTTCTCGTCGTTTGCTTCATACTCATATTAAGTTGCAAATTATATTTAACGTTGTATAAAGAGTATAGGAAGAAAATTATTCGAATTAATTGATTCCTAAAATATATGAACAAAGTGATTTCCATACGACTTACGATTCTCGGCAAAAGATTTAATTCAAAAGAATATTTCTTAAATCGTATTATGTATATAAAAGATGGATTTGGAAATCGTTTTTATCTCTTTAAATAATATTATCTTTTCTTTTCTTAAACGGTTGGTCATTTCTTATTATAAAAGAATGAGTATCACTTTTATGCCGTTTTAATCTCAAAGGCAAAGGATCATTTTAACTTTAATCACGTACGTGATTTGTCGAAAATATTCTTCTGTATTATAAATTACGTTTAAGAGATATTCGAACGGATCCACTTAAACAGGACATCCAATGATTACATGTATTTTTTTGTCGTGATATTATAAGCGTTATTATATGAGACGGGGAATAGAATTTCTAGAGAAACGTATCGACAAACTATTATTAGAAAATTCTAGCATTCATTTTACACATCGCGATCGTTGCAATAATATGATACTATTTGGAGAAGGGAATTGTCGGTGTTATCGGTACTTCTTGCATTCGCTTGGCAATAAATCTGCACAATTATCTCGAACCAAGTGCTCTACGCTCGCTCGAGAAGAAAAGAAGAATTCGTTCATTCATTGTCAGCTGTCGAGGAGCACGATGACTAACTGCCATATGGAAAATTCTATGAATACTTCGCTATTGTCGGGGAAATGTATATTAGTTTACACGGTTTAATTATATTAATTATATAATTAAACGATATAGATTTAAAACAATTAAAGTAAAAAATTAACATTGTGTTTATTAAAGAACAATTTATATATAAATATTTTCTGATCATCCGCTTTTTTAGATATTTATTTATTACGTTGTAAATTTCGAAAACATATCGTTTTTACGAAAAATGAATTTTTCGTATACTTACTTCGAAATAAATTCTGCGAGTGAATATATATCGATTTATCGAATTTTTCTGATTGATCTTCTAAATCGAAACAATAAATCTTGACGCGTTGTCAATTAAAAATGAACGATCGAATTAATGATTGAACGTGAATAAAATGACAAGAGATTAGATAAGGATATGAAATACGAAAATGTTTCAAATGATTTTGGAGCTGGATATATGAATAATTATATAAGATAAAATAAATATGGACGTTATTTTCCAGTTGTAACCTAATAAGTCACTAGGATAAACGATCTAGTTACCCTAGTTATCTTAATGTCTCCTCCACAACAATTAACTAACACATCGAGAGATACGAAGATGTATATATTGTGTTGTAAATAAGCTTGCAATGGTCTTTTCCAAATACAGAAAGTATTTGCTACGAGTATTATTCGATGAAAAGTATAATTTATTAATTTTTGTTAGAAAAGTGCCAATGCGAAAAATAAATAAGTAAAATAACAATTTATTATCGGAATTTCATAATACCTAAGTAAACAAGGCAAACATTTTCTTTTTGGAAGATTAAAAAAAAAAATTACGCGGAAAAATAATCGACGCTTTACAAATCTCTCAAATGCAAGAGAGAAATGAAAAAGTATTATACAAACTCTTTCAAACTCTTCGCTTAACAACTTTCTCTATCTACTAATTACGAACCTATCCTATTTTTATAATTACAAATCATTAATTTTTAATGCAAAATAAAAATACTTTCGAATCGTTCAAACCTTTACCAAATAAACATCTACCATGATCCACCTTATATAATTAAAAATCGCTAAGAATCGTTCAAACCCTTCCTTAACCATCAAATAAACCTTCTATAAAATTATATCTGCCCTATCCTACGTAATTATTCGAATCTCTCTAAAAAAAAAAAAAAAAAATCGAAAAAAATTTCTTTCGAAGAATCAACTCTTCGAGAATCGAATCCTAACCACTCTACCTCCCCCCCCTCCCCTCAAGGTACAAATTTACTGAAAAATCTCGTTACGTACCAGAACGAAGCGGAATAAGGAGTGCGCGAACGATGTATACGTTTTCGTAGCGCTTAACTCGCTGCGCGGCTACTCCATCCCTGCTCCACACGCTCCTTACACATAAACACTTTTATCGCGTGCTCGAGACGATGCGGTTCAGAGATCCAGAGTGGAGCCGCAACCGAATACAGCCGCGTCGTTCGCGATATTTTCGGTGTCAAGGTGTACCAGAATCGATCATCCTTCGTTCTTTGCAGTCTTCGTCTCACGTTTGTAAACGTGATTCGTTTCATTCATTCGCGCGAGGGGAATAACCCGATACACCGTGTATATAAAACCATGTAAAAAAAAAAAAAATAAAAAAGGATTTGAATTATGGGCTGATCGATTATGACTCGCACATTGTGGACGGGGATTAAGTTAGGGTGGAACGGAAGGGGGAGATTCGGTTTGATTTACACGAATGTTTTGATTGTCGATGTCTCTAAAATAGAAAAAAATGAATTAAATTTGTAACGTGTAATAGAAATTGTCCTTTAATAAAAATTGTTACAAATTTTGTTCGTTCCTTTTTTTTCCTTCGATATATTCTCGTGATTTCTGGAAATAAAAATTGCTCTTTTCGACTAATTTCGAATAAAAATTAATTAAAATTAAACGACAGAAGAAAAATTATCTTCCACGATAATATTTAACCCTTTGATGTAAATATATTATATATATATATTATCAAGTATGATATAGCGTAGGCGTTAATGGATTTTGTAAATTTGTAAGTTAAAATTTTAAATTTTAGAGAAAATTGTTACGAGAGAAAGGAAACGAATGACGGGATACGAGAAAGGAGAAATGCTGAAAGTTATACGCGATACGATATGGAGAGCGAACTAAATATAAATGTACACGCTGGTAGATATGGACGTTTAATTTCAGAACAAATAAATTTATCTACGTTTCTACGTATCTTTTTTGATACACCGAGATAAATCAATGGATGTCAATGTAAATGAGCGAGATGTCGTGCAATATTCATTCGACATTGTTACAACGATCATCTTACTTTCACCTTGTAATTTAAACAATTTTCTAACCCTTTTCTCAAGTTGCGACCTTCTTCTTTTTTTTTTTTTTTTTTTTTTTTACATAAAATTCAAAACTTGCATCAAAGAAAAAAAAAATAATAATAAAGAAATAAGCAAAATTTTATTGCTACGAAATAATTGACTAACTCAGTAATTAAATAAATTAATTAAATAGTTAAAAAATCAATCTTGATACGCTTATAAAACATGACATTATAATAATTATATTAATTTTTCGCTACATCAAAATACAGTTAAATTTTCATTTTGAAAACAATACGTATTTTTCTTTAATTAAGATTTTTAATTTATAATTTGATTTCGCGTAGAAATTATTTAACAATTGAAAATAAAACGTTAAAATAAGCGTTAAAAGTTCATCAAGTTAGGAACAACAGTGGCTCTGTAAAAAAAAAAAAGAAAAGTAAAAACTTTTCCTTTGTGAATCACATATTCACAGGTCGAAGATCATCGATAAAAAATGTATTAACTTATCAAATACGACTTACGTATCCTCCAAGATACAATTATTGGTAATTCGAATTAAGAAACAGAAGTATTCACCATTGAATGGCCATTCATTTGCTCGGTCGGTGTTTTCGACTCGAAAGTCGTCGATATTTCTTCCGTGTGCGTCATAATCGTGTGCCAAAACCAGGGGGAACCAGATCGAAGTAAACCTCGTTATACCTCAATGAAGATTCTTTTTTTCGCGTCGAATCTTTCTCATCTTTATCCTCACATTTTTCGAAAGAATGGGATCAACGATCGTTTCTCCAAATACGCATGCACTTGAGTTTCTCGAGAGAGACGAATGTGGCGCCAAATCGATATGTATTTCGAGCAGTTATATCTCGATCGATATCTCGCGTCGATCAGAGGGATAACGTCAATTCGTACAACAAGCAGCGTAGTTACTCTCGTATCTCGTCGAAGAAATTCATTCTTTTTTCTCTTTCCCTTTCTTTCTCTCTTTTTTTATTTATGTTTCGGATTATATTCCGTTTATCGTTCCGTTCAGAAGTGCAATCGATAAAGTTCATAAAAGTGTGGAAAACGTCATTTTGCCTTATTTTATTGCTCGTGTTGTTGTGCATCAACATAAGTTGTTCGTATGTCGTGGCTCTTTTAATCTCGTATCGAATTCTGTTTAGTCTCGCGGCTCTGACTCGTTGAAATCTTGAGATTATTTTGAACGAATGTTTTGTTTGCAAAAATTGAGAAATTGATACGATTTTTCGTCTGTTTTTTTTTTTTTAATATATATATACGTGCGTTTTATCGTACATATATCGTAAAATTTACATATTCTCTCATTTACATATTCACGTGCATGGATGGTTGTGGAAAATCGTGTTAAAAAGAAATCGTCTCCTCGAAAGACAGTTGAAATTAAAAGATAAGATAAGATAATTCTTAATCACAATATTTCATCAACAATATTCAACAATATTAATATTATTTCAAACATGTCTCTATTTTCTTTGTCTTTTTCATTGGTGAACCGAAGAAAATTTTACTCGATTTTCTCCTCTTTCTCCTCTTATCACGAATCAAACGTTTCTCAACGTTTAAAAGTTCAGTATACTTTTCTCCTCCGTTCAAAGTTCCTCCACTGTCGGTGGTTAAACGTTCACAATCTCCTTGCAAGATTTTTTTTTTTTATTGATTAACTTTCCACGTTTCTTCGTCCAAATTTGATATGCATATTTTTTTGAAAGTTCCCGCACTTTCGATATAGTGCACAAAAAAATTTATCTCTTCTTTTTTATTATTATTATTATTATTATTATTATTATTATTATTATTTCGAAATTTTAGCACTGTTTAACATGGCAAAATGTTTATACAATTTCTTTTCTTTTATATTTTCTTCGATCAATGAAATTTCCACGTTTCTTCGTCAGAGTTCAATAAAGATATTTAAAAATTCTTCCACTCTTCTCTCAATGATTAAAAAATTAAAAATTTAAAATTCTTTCTTTAAAATTTCTTTGAATCAACAAATGTGTCACAAAATTGTCAAGATTCAAAATTCTTCCTTCTCCTCAAGATTCCTTTCGATCGAGCAAATTTTCACAAGAATTATCAAAATTCAAAATCCTCTTCTCACTTCTTCGATCAAATTTTCACCAAATTGTCAAGATTCAAAATTCTTCTCTCTCCTCGAAATCTCTTTCGATCTCTTCTCTCTTCTTCAATTTTCGTCAAATTTTCACAAAATTGTCAAGATTCAAGATCCTTCTTCCTCTTCGATCCCAAATTTCCACAAAAAAACTCGAACAACCGATCCAACCGATTCTCTCCTCGAGATCAATTCTTCGATCGATCAATTTCCACAAAATTCTCCACGCTTTCTCTCTCTCTCTCTCTCTCTCTCTCTCCTCCGTTCGGAATTTTCTCAAGATCGTGCAAAAATTCACAACACGAAAAAAATGGCGAGAAAATCGCGAGTATAAGGTACAAGGTGTCCCTTCTTAACGGGGCCACCGGCGATTCCCTCGCATCGAAAATCCCCCTTTTTTTTCTATCTTCAAATCCCTCTCCTTCCAGATTTGCCTGTGCGAAGGGAGGGGAAATTCGGGCTGTCCACACCCTTGGACTACGCACTAGCGGTTGGAAGCAACTTGGCAGCTAGGCGAAACGTGGCCGGAACGGGCACGATTTTTCGGAAAACGAAGGCTCGCAGCAAGAGCAGAAAGACAGAAAAGGAGCCGGCACGACCGGCCGGCTTACACACACTGACTTCTGACTGGTCGAGCTAGTAGGTGACTCCAGGGACCCCTTCCATAACGCATAGCAACTGCTCGTAAGACGACTGATAAGTTCTTGCATTCTGTTTAGGGATCGACGGATGCGGTCCTGATGCGTGCCACCGTTCCATCCACACGCGTCCATTATTTCTTTCGTGTGTATTCTCCTCGCGTGTCTCGTGCCAACCTTCCGTATCGGTTAATTTTTCCTTTCCTTTGTCTGCCCGAAGGGGAAGAGACGAGGAGGGATTGGGCGGAGGGGAGGGGAAAAGCAGGAGGGAATTTTTCACGCGTGGCGCCACGACTTTCCGTAGAAAGTCCAAGTAGGAAGGAGAGGTTACGTTGAAACTGAAGTGTCGTGTTCGATGTTCGTGGTAGGTTTTTCTTTCCTTCTTGTTTTTGTTTGTTTGTTTGTTTGTTCGTTCGTTCGTTCGTTTGATCGATCGATTTTTGTTCGTTGCAGGAAAGCGACTTGTTGTTCGGGATTATGAGAGTATTTCTTTCTTTTGTGCTGTGGATAATTTGCAGAGGTACGGGTATTTATTATTATAGGTTATGTTTTCGATCAGTGCGTTGGATCAAATAAGAATTGGTCTCTGTTGAATTTTAACTTTAATATCATGGTGTATTGATATATAAATTTTTTATATTATATTAATTTTGTGCTGTTTATTATTGGGAGAATTATTGTAAATGGTATATTTTTGAGATGATATTAATTGTAATATGTCATTGAATAATATCATAGGATATTTATTGTATTAATCTTTTCAGAGAAGTTACAAGATATGAAAAGTAATGTTATAATATTTCAAAAGTATATATAAAATAAAAATTTTATCAAATGCCTCGAATTTTTTATTTTTATTACTAAGATTTTGTAATAAAGAGTTCTTCAATTTTAATTTTTTTTTCTTTTTTTTATTTTTACTTTTAACTTAAAAAATGTAAGAATAATTTTAACTTCAAAAAAAAATTAAACATACATATATGTGCCATGTGTCTAAAATGATTGAAAAATTTGTTATACTCTGTCGAAATGAAAAATTATAATATTATAATGCGATAACGATACTGATATGGAAATTATTTTCCACAATAATAAACCATTAGATATCATATCTGAAAATAATCGTAATTTTCTTTCTTCGAAGATAATGAATACAAAGTACATGAAAAAAATCTGGAATATTGTATACGGGAATCTTTACCAATCTTTTTAAAATAATGAAATAACGAATAATTAAATTTTTCGTAAATCGTATAATCATAATATTAATCGATCGAATGTAATATATGTTTATGAATATATGCTTCAAACATGAATAATATTCTCAAATGAAATTAATAAGAAATATCGAAAGCGTGCCAAAAATTGATTAATTATTGCCGGACGAAAAAAAAGAAAAAA